ATGATTTTTCTCATATTTATTCAAAAAGAGCTTGAATATTACTCTAATAATTTTCTACATATTTTTCTCAAAAAGAATCTTCAAAAATATTATATCATCAATACTTGTTAATTGTTATTACTTATAAAATATTTCTCATTTTGAAAACTTAAATATTTATCCAACTATAATTTATTTTAGCTAAAATTTTATTCTATTTATATAATTTCTGATAGAAAATAAAATAGTATATATCATGGTCTACAGGAATTTATAATTGTATTAAAGAAATATTAATAATTTCCTTAAAAGTATAAACACAAATATTTATCTTATATATATATAAATTAAGATTATTAAATCTTTCAAATTGAGCTATTAGTATTCATATCCTTAGTTAGGCATACAACATATCGATCACCAGAGAAGGTAGGGTTGGACATTTTATCAGTTAAGTTTGATCCAATTCGTTATTCGTTTTAACTTTATCCACAAAATCTTAATATCCGTAAACTTTCGAAGAAAATCAAATAATGAAAAGCAATATCCGTTAAAATCGAAGAAAATCAAAAATAATAAATTTCAAAAACGAATATCAGGTCCGCTTCGTTAGATATATAAATACATGTATATCTTGATTAAATTTAGATTTTTAAATGTGTGATTTTATATAACTATTTTTCAAACAGATGATTTAATAAATTTATTTACATTATTACATATAAAAGTATTAAATAGAAAAAGAAAAGATTAAAATTTACAAAACATGTAAAATTCCTACTTCTTTTAATTTTTATTATATATATCATGTAAAAGTATATTTTAAAGAATAAATTTATATTGAAATTTCTAGATCATCTGTATTAAACAAAATAAATAAGATATTCATAAATATCTACAAATAACCATATTTTAACAATATTTTTTTCTGGATATCCATATTTTATCATAACAAATCGGAAAATTAAGCATCCGTAACATATAAAACAAATCACAAACACATTCTAAAGAATACATTTATATCACGATTTCTAGATCATCTGTATTAAACAAAGTAAATAAGATATTCGTAAATATCTATAAATATCCATATATTTTTAGATATTCATTTTTTGCGGATATCCATATTCTTAGATGCTAAGTAAGGGCTCTAACCATAGTTAGGCATACAACATATCGATCACCAGAGAAGGTAGGGTTGGAAATTTATCAGTTAAATTTGATTCAATTTGTTATTCATTTCGATTTTATCCAAAAAATCTAAACATCTGTAAACTTCCGAAGCAAATAAATAATGAAAAGCAGTATCCATAAAAATTGAAGTAGATCACAAATACTAAATTTAGAAATGAATATCAGCTCCGCTTCGTCAGATATATAAATACATATATATCTTGATTAAATTTAGATTTTTAAATGTGTGATTTTATATAATTATTTTTCAAACAAATGATTTAATATTTTTTTACATTATTACATATAAAAGTATTAAAAAGAGGAGCCAAATTTTCTCAGCAACTAGAAGCTTGGAACTCCCATCAACCTCTCCTTTTTTTAACGATTTGTGCTTCATCAGAGACACATCACCACCATTAGAGAGCAACAACCGAGATTCAAATTAGAAAGAAAGATATGAGATGAAACCATTCTTACAGTATGTGTGCACAAGGAATAAGAAGGGTTGAATCTGGTGAAGCATGGAAAGTTCGAGTTTTCTTCATCCCTATTTATAGCATTCAGAATTAGGGGTTTGAGGTGGAGGTAAGAGAAAGGGTATTAAAATCGACATCGTGTGAGAAAGTTTGAATGAGAGATTAATCAGAGAGTCTTAACGCAACCGGTTCGTTATGATGCGAGGAATCGGAAAAGTCGCCAACACAGTAGATGGGCAAAGAATTTTGTTCATCACTGAGACATTAGGGTTAGATCATGTGTTGGAACTATTTTGGGTGATGAAACCAACTACAAAAGAAAATTAAGAATGAGCCAAAGACGATGAAACCCAGAGCTTTAAAATGCGGAGCTTTACTTAACGCGCTGGACACGTAGCATAATCTGTCCTACGTGGATTAATTGATGTGGCAGTTACGTGGCATACTTGAAAGGGATGAAACAAAGGATTATATAATAGACTTTTATTATTGCCAATATTTTTATTTTTAAAACTGTTTTACAACAATAATAAAAATTAATATTATTTTAGAAAACACCTTTAACTTTGTTTTAATTTATATTTTTAATAGTTTATTAGTTTATCATTTGTTTTTCTATATGATTTGTTAGGTGAAATTCTATTTTACCCTATTTGTTGTACCACAATTCATGTTTTCCTTCATTAAGGAGATATTTTTACAAATACATTTTTGCTAAATGGAAAAAGATTTTTCTATCAATTTTCATAAAAATATATAAATATAAATATTTATTTAAATACTTAAGTCATTTAAATTTTTTTTTTCAAAACGGTTTATATATTCAAAATGTCTTTATTAACATTTTCAATAAACTAATTTCTTTAAATATTTTATTAAAAAAAGATTTCGTAATAAAATATTAAAATATTAAAAACATTTTAGTTGATTGAAAGTGTTTCTAAAGACATTTATAAATATATAAAATAGTGTTTTGAAAAGCATTGTATAAACGACTTAACTATTTAAAATCCAAAACATTTTTTTATATATAAAACATTTTATTTAACCTAACACAAAATAATAGGGAAATTTTACTTTTACCTCACTTTCATACCATTATTAAGGTTCATCTTCAAATATACCTAATTATGTGTTTCATTAAAAAAAACAAAATACTTTTCTATCCTTATTTTATAAATATAGATAATTATTTAAATTATATATAAATATAAATGCTAAACTAACAAACTATTATAAGTATATAAAATTAAAATAAAGTTAATTTTTTTTCTAAAATAACATTAAATTTAATATTATTGTACAAAACTTTTTAAAGAAAGAAAATAAAAAATATTCTTAGTAATAAAAACATAAAATAAAAAGATTTTCCATATCTTCATATGTTTTTATATTTATATCTTTTATTAATGTAATAAACCTTGTGATATAATTAATACAATTAGTCTTGTGATATTAGCTACATAACAACATAAAAGTTCATGGATGTTAATATGCATATCAAATATTTCATGTAGCTGAATGTGCATTTTTTTTATTTTGCATCGTCAGCCATGTAGTGGCCGATGTTTGAGATAGCTGAGAATGATTTTTCCAAAAAAAATATCACAAACACATCCTAATCCCCCCCCTTCCCCTTCCCTCTGATTCTGAGAGAAGTCCCCTTTTTTTGTCACTGAGAAATCCCTCATTCAAACATCGCTTACTTTATGATCATCAACGCCCCTCACTCAAACATCACTTACTTTGTGATCATCAACTTTCCCTACTTGACATGTCCACTCTTTTTACTTACGTGCATAAACCGTTAGCCTTTATGTCTGAAATCTGAATCGTTAGGCGGTCAACTTAGTTCTGAAACGAAAATTACTCACTTGTAGTAGTATTTATTTTCTTAGTTGAAATAGACATAAAAGTAGCCGATGTTCCAGTGATCAATATTTGTTTGTCCTTAATTGGTCTGAAAAAATAATGAAAACTATTCCCTGGTAATAATTATTGCTCATCGAGTAAATTTCCTTTTCCAAAAGGGGAAAGACAAAAGGAGGCCTTTGTGAGTGAGAATATTTGTTAAAAAAAAAGTAAAACGAAAAAGGAAGTTTTATTTTCTTCTTCATTATTATTAATAAAAGACTTTTGCAATGACAATGACACAAAAGTAGCATATAAATGGTGGTGGTGGTGGTGGAATTTATAAAGGAGTTGGGGCCTAATCACTTACTCATGCTTTTATTCTTTACCATATCACATCCATCTAATCTCTTAAAAGTGAAACTATATCACTGTCTACCACTGAATATATGCTTAATTATAATTTAAGTTGACATGTCTTAATTAATCATTTCTTATTATCTTTTTAAAATCCATAATAATTCAAACTTTTCCTAAAGTATCAATTTTCTATTCAAATCAATCAAATTTCTAACTTTCTCCAAGCAAAGTTTTTTTTTACCATGATCATCATGTTTTATTTTCTCGTAAAAAAATAATCGATTAGTGCAACATCTATTGATCTTGACTGATTCTCTTTATTTGACTTGAGAACTGTAATGATTCTGAAATACTACAATGGCTTTTGTGTTTCCCTGTAACTCAATATGATCTTATGGTTTAAACATATTTTTAGTTGAGCGTTGTTGCTCCTTATCTTTGTCTTAGATTTTTACCTGATTCTTTTCAGATTAGCATTGACCAAGTCTGTTTTAATTAGTTTATCAGATATACAAGAATAAAAGTATATAACAAAACTAAAAGAAAGCTTTCAACAAAGGAATAAAACTTACCTAATAGATTCAAGACTTTTAAACCGAAGGACCAAATTTGATTTGAGTTTGGTGTGGAAATGTACTACTTCTCACGGATTAATTAATTTATTGTGTATAATACGAATACATAGTTGAAACATAACGGAAAGAAGAAGATATTGCATAGATACTCTCATATTTAGATATTTTTCATCAGCTGAATGAATAGATTCTTAAAGATAAGAATAAAAGAAGAGGATATTAGAAAATGTGACAAAATTTCATTAAGAAAAAAGAGAATAATTGTGAAAAACTGTTGGGATTGTCAAATCTAAAATTAATTGAAAATTTGAAAAAAACAAGCCAATAGAAGTAAAGGGAGATCTTTCACTTGGGCCATAGAGAATCTATGCTCACTGCTCCTTCAATATACACGAAGATTGGGGGCAACAACAAGAATACAAAACTATGAATATAAATTCATAAAACATAAAATATAATAAATTAGCGCGGGACCCATTGACAATAGACCAGTGAAACAGCGACTCTTCTTTCTTACATATCTTAGCGTAAGCCTGAGAATTGAAACCAAAGTAAAAGGAAGCAAACAAACATAAAACATATATATAAATAAACAAAATACTTTTTCGCAAAAGCGACTACTCGGTTTGATTTCTTTGTCGTAAAATCCATTTCAAGAAATTTCACGCGCGATTTGTTTATACATTTCCTCAGTGTTTTATTTTTCTGATCTTTGTTGTTGGTTGGTGTAACTGATCTTGGAAGTTGGTTTACTTTTTTTTTCACTTTCGTGTTTTGGATTTTATACTAAACCGGCGGCGATGCCTACACCGGTTAACACGGCGAGGCAATGTTTAACTGAAGAAACAGCACGTGCACTAGACGACGCAGTGGCCGTCGCGCGTAGGAGAAGCCACGCGCAAACGACCTCTCTCCACGCCGTCTCAGGTCTTTTAACCATGCCTTCCTCGATTCTCCGTGAAGTGTGCATCTCACGCGCCGCTCACAGCACGCCGTACTCTTCCCGCCTCCAGTTTCGCGCGCTCGAGCTCTGCGTCGGCGTATCTCTCGACAGGCTTCCTTCCTCGAAACCGGCGACGACGACGGAGAAGGAGGCGGAGGAGGAGCCGCCGGTGTCTAACTCCCTCATGGCGGCGATCAAACGTTCTCAAGCGACTCAGAGAAGGCACCCGGAGACGTATCATCTCCATCAGCTACACGGTGGGGTTACTACTCAAACGACGTCGGTTTTGAAGGTTGAGCTTAAGTATCTTTATTTTTCTGATCAAACGACTTCGGTTTTGGAGGTTGAGCTTTAAGTGCTGTTCTTTTCTTTTTTTTGAAGGTTGAGCTTAAGTACTTTATATTGTCGATACTCGATGACCCGATTGTGAGCCGGGTATTCGGTGAAGCCGGGTTTCGAAGCACGGATATAAAGCTCGACGTGCTTCATCCTCCCGTGACGCGGTTCCCGCGGTCTCGTTGTCCTCCTCTGTTTCTATGTAACGTAACCGAATCTGGCTCTGGTCGGGCTAGGTTCGGGTTTGGGGGAGATTTCGACGAGAACTGTCGGAGAATAGGTGAAGTGTTGGGTCGGAAAGACAAGAAGAATCCTCTACTTGTCGGGACTTGCGGTGGTGAAGCACTCAAAACGTTTAGTGACTCGATCAACAGAGGGAAGTTAGGGTTTTTGCCTCTGGAGATTAGTGGGTTAAGTGTAGTTAGTGTAGAGAAAGAGATTAGTGAGATGAAAGTTGATGAGTTGGGAAGAATCGTGGAGCAAAGCTGCTCGAGTTCGAAACCGGGGATGGTGGTTTTGAATCTAGGAGAGGTCAAGGTGTTAATCAGTGATGCTCTCGTGTCGAGGCTCTCGGAGCTTTTGAAGATTCACCGTGAGAGGCTCTGGTTCATCGGGAGTGTTTCAAGCAACGAGGTGTATTTGAAACTGGTGGAGAGGTTTCCGACGATTGATAAGGACTGGAAGCTTCATCTTCTTCCTATTACATCTTCGAATCAAGGAGTTTATCCCAAGTCAAGGTAATGTCTTTTGTAGTGCCTTTCTGTTCGTTTTCTTTATTTTTATTTTTTTCTGTTTTAGAAATATAAATATATAAGGCTCTTTTTTTATTTTTTTGTCAACCATTGCATATAAGGCTCTTTTCTACACAAAAAAAGAAATATATTTTGTGTTTCAATAACAAAAAAAGTATGTTTCAAAAAATATAACAATAGAAATATAGAATAAGTTCGGACATTTATGAAATTTTGTTCGGTTTTAATTTAGCTATTTCAACTTTCGGTTTTAGTTTGAGCAATAAGATTAGAAATTAGAAAATATCCTTTTTTGTCAACAGAAATTAGATATCTAATACTGTATTTGAAAAAAAAAAGTATTTGAAAAAATGGATTTAATTTGGTTTAGGTTAGTTTCATATTTTCGCATAATTTTAGTCAGTCCCGTAATATTTCGGACAATTAAGAATTTTGGATTAAATTTCAGATATTTAAGATTTTTCGGATAAATGTTTTTGTTTCTAATGTTAGGAAAGTTTAAACAGTTTTTGTTTGAATCGATGCGTTTTGTGGTTTCATCTACAGTTTGATGGGATCATTTGTCCCATTTGGAGGGTTCTTCTCATCAACATCAGATTTCAGAGTACCGTTTAGTAACTCAATGAACCAGTCTCGTCTTCCTCGGTGTCATCTCTGTAACGAGAAGTGTGAGCAAGAAGTCACAGCCTTAGGTAAGTCCAGTTCGATGACCACCGATGATCAGTGTTCAGAGAAGTTACCTTCTTGGTTACGTAATGTAGAATCTGAACAAGACAAAGGCATTCTCAGACAGGTGCGGTTATTATAAAACACACTCCTTCTACTGAATTCAAATATCTCAAAGTTACTATGTTGATGAGAGTGTGTACTTCTCATTCAGTGCAGGCCAAAGATGATCCAAACACATTAGCTTCTGTACAGAAGAAATGGGACGAAATTTGTCAAAGAATCCACCAAACTCCTGCGTTTCCTAAGCTCAGCTTTCAGCCTGTGAGACCACAGTTTCCACTTCAGCTTGTTTCTTCTAGCCACACCAAGATGAGTCCCCTTCAACCCGGTTTATCAGTACAAATCTCGAAGCCAAAACCTACAGCAGATCTCATAACAAACTCGCCTATGAGCTGTGTTACTACAGATCTAGGGCTGGGAACAATCTACCAGGAGTCAACCACTCCGGTATCACTTAACCGGAGAGGCTTTGAGAAACCATTGTCACGGTTTTGCAAAGACTTCAAGTCTCTCAGAGAATTACTCTCTCGGAAAGTAGGTTTTCAGAACGAAGCTGTGAACGCCATTAGTGAAATCATCTGCGGATACAGAGATGTTGCTTCATCCACAAGTAATGTTTGGATCGCTCTGCTTGGACCAGATCAAGTCGGGAAGAAGAAAGTAGCAACAACCCTCGCTGAAGCCTTCTTCGGCGGCCAAGAAAACTGCGTTTGCGTGGATTTCAAGGCACAGGATCGGCTCGACGAGAGATTCAGAGGGAAAACAGTTGTTGATTACATCGCCGGAGAAGTGTCCAAGCGAGTGGAGTCTGTTGTTTTCATCGAGAACGTGGACAAAGCAGAGTTTCCTGATCAGGTAAGATTGTCTGATGCTGTGAGAACTGGTAAACTCCGTGACTCACACGGAAGAGAGATCAGTATGAAGAATGTTATAGTTGTTGCTACTACTTCTAGGTTTGATAAAGACAGTGATCGTCATGTCAAATATTCAGAGGAAAGAGTTCTCACCGCTAAAAACTGGAAACTTCAGATAAAACTTGCCGACAATAATGGTAACAAGAACGGTCTAAATAAGCGAAGACAGGAGTTAGAAACAGAGGTTACAGAGCTTCGAGCTGTTAAGTCTCAACGTTCGTTTCTCGATCTGAATCTTCCAGTGGATGAGACAGAAGAAGCATACTCAGATGAAGGGCATGCAGTTTCCGAGAACACAGAAGCTTGGCTTGATGATTTTTTCGAGCAAGTAGACGGGAAAGTCACGTTCAAAATGATCGACTTTGATGGGTTAGCGAAGAACATACAAAGAAATATCTTCTCGCATTTTCATCGGTCGTTTGGCGATGAGACACGTCTAGAGATCGAAAACGATGTGATCCTTCAGATTCTAGCTGCGGTGAGATGGTCAACAGATGAAGAGAAAACAATTGATCAGTGGATGCAAACTGTTCTTGCTACAAGCTTCTCTGAAGCGAGACAAAAGTATAACTACACTTCTTCTTTCGGTTTCAAACTTGTAGCCTTTGAAGATTCAACGGCTGAAGAGGAAACCGCGGGAATACAGTTTCCGGCGAGAGTTGAAGTGATCTAATCATTTCGGTTGTTATTTTATGATATATATATATATGGTGATGGTAGTTATATATATAGATCCCATGAGAGTTTTGTCATCGGCTTTGGTTTGAGTTTGTGCTTTCTCACTAAAATGTATATTATAAGCTTAAAAGGGTGAGCTAAACTGTGGTTATATAGCTTTTAATGGAGGGCCAAATTGCCACATGTTTTGGTTTTAGTTGTTTTTATTTTATTTTTTATCATAGTTTCGATTTTTCTATTATTTTACGGTTTTCTGTATATTTTGTGTAATGATATGAGTATCAGTTTCATATTAGGTTTCTGCATTTCTTTTATAATTAATCAACCCAAAATTGAGTAATCGGAACTGTTACAGTGGGTTCGATAAATAGGAGAAACATGGACACCGAGATAAACGAAGATCAAGTTAAAGCAATAAAGCAGAAGAAACAAGAGGCAGACTGTAACCGGCGTGGGAAGAAGACGATGGGAGTACGGAGCTCCCCACTTTGATGAACACAGACAACCTCAAGCAAGCTCATAGTGACTTCACGGCGCATAGCGTGTCCAAGACCAGGTCACAGATCCGCATGCGACAAACACAGCAACCATGCTCGGAGGTGTCACGCAGCCACAAATGTCGGGGTCTAGAGAAGAGCCAACTTACATCTGTCATTACCTTTAAGCCTCATCGTCACAAGATCCCAAAAGTTGCACCCACCCATATATCCTTAATCGATCCCTAGAATCTGATGATTAACTTGTGGCTTCTCTGCGGCGTACCTGGCCATCCTCTAACATTAGATTGCCAACCTTCGAGTCCGACAAATCACCAGAACACCGTGGTTGCCTCATTTGGAGTTTTGTATGTAACCTTTTGGGAGTATACAGTATTTGTAATAGGAGGGAACATGAGGTCGGTTTCTGCATTTTTCAGTTACATGTCCTAAATTTGTATATGAAGACTCATTCTGTTACTCTCTTGCAATTAATTAACAAATAATTAAGGATTTTATTACAGAAGCAACTACTATTGCACCACAGAGTCCATTCCAAAATTGTCTATTACGTTTCTACAGGAAATGATTTTTTTTTTTCCTTTTTGTAGTTCGAATGTGGATTATGAATAAATTTTGTTTAGATGGCGCACTAAACTTTACATGGATGTTGACAGCAATACGAGATTATGAATTTGAAATTTCTATAGTGACTGGTTCATGATGTCTGTTTCGCAAAATAAAGTACGCCTTAGAAGAGAGGTACATAGCCAATTTGGGCACTCTTTATTTCCCCTTAACTAAACGAACAGAGGATTTGAAAGACCTAGTGGCCCTCTCGTTAATGTTTTTTTTTTCTTTTGTCGTAGAATTTATTGTCTATTAACTTATGCACATTCTCCACACAGAGGCTCGAGTGGAAAAGAACAAGATCTTACAATTACGATTTGGTTGCATGTTCCAACCTAGCATTATCACTCTTTTCTAGTTGAATATCAATTCAAGACACCCGCCCCTTATTAAAAAGAAAATCACGCAAGACAAAAGATTATTTCAACCTTTTCTCCTACGATATGTGGTTGATAAATTTGAACTACTATCCAAAAGCTTTAACTAAGCAAACATTAGGATTATTGCTATAGGCTAGCCTCGCCAGATTAAGTTTATATCGGTTTCTAATGCATTTTATAAAAGAAAATTTCCAACTAGAAAATAGACATTCATTGTACACCTTATGTATGAAACTCTTTAGAACTCCCACAATTTTAGTAGCAAATATGGATTTTGTGTGAGTATTTCATTTTATGTTTGGTTTTATGCTCAATCAAGATTGAATGGAAGTTTGTCCAAACAAGCAAAACATATCAAAAGAAAACGATGTTACATCCGGTAAATGGGCAACCATACTGTAGTCATTATATATTAGCTATATGTGAATGGTTTTGGTATGTTTGTGTACATGTTTAACGATGTGATGAAATGGCTTTACATGGTTAACATCAAATAAGTATGCAAGAGTTTATATAATAAGATTGTAATCGTAGATGTCATGTGTTTTATGAGAGCTAGCTTCATCTAATCATATATATAAGCTATATTCGTCGTTTTCTATAGTTACTTTTTTTTTTCTTGTTCGTAGTTTCGAGTGAGAAAAATATATTAGATCCTATAATAAACGTAAAATTAGGATTTGGAAGTTTTTTTCAACATCAATTAGATAAAAGACTATAAAATTCTAAATTAAAAGAACCAATTTCTTTCCACTAAATTCCAATATAGTTATATGGTTTTGCATCCGATTTAGTTCCAATATTGTTTTGCACCAAAAGATTCCAATACAGTTACAAAAAATTAATATACAGTAGTTGGGACGAATGATATGTCTGTAAAATTATTTAGGTCCTGGAATATCTGGCGCTCGCAGGCATGCGCATTAAAAAGGCCTTTATATATTTGGGCCGTAAAGTAATAGTTCATTAATTAAAAAAAGCGACAGCTCCGTGACACATTGTTGTTGTGATGGGACCCAAAAACGGCGTGCATTTTGTCGACTTTCAGTGGAACTGTCTTTTTCTTTTCCTTTTTCTTTTTGTCCAAACACAAAGTTTTAAAGATCCTTTTGATTATAACTATTAACTAAAATAAAAGAAAGAAAGAGATATAACAAAAACTTCTGCTTTTTGTAATGTAAATACTTTAATAAAAGAAGAGTTTCACGAGTACATTTTTCACTTAAAACAGCAGCAAATAAGTAAAAAGAAAAGAGTGTTTATTCCTAATAGAGCTAGGAAGATAGGTTAATTGATTTTAGATTTGTCAGAAGCATAAACGTAGAGATCTGGATCGGTCTCGTAGAAGACAATATCACCACTGTCACTGACGTAATGATCTTTTTTAATACTTGCGACCAAACTCTCCACCAAGTGAATCGGTATTGCTCCTGACGTCTTAGGCTCTCTGTAGTATCTTCCCAACACATGTTTAGCTGCTTTCGTCTGTCCACAATTCATTAATTAAATTAGTAATTAGTAACCCTTTAATCAGATGAACCTAGAGAGAGAGAGAGCTAAGATCACTCACGGCGTCGACCAAGTGATAGTGAGGGATTTGTGGGAAAAGATGATGGATCACGTGAGTTCCAATGTCGTGATGGATGTTGTTGAAGATTCCATAATCTCTATCAATAGTTGTTAATCCTCCACGTAAATAACTCCATTCCTATTGTTGTTATACACAACATAAAAAATCAAATTAAATCTGTACTAATCATTATTCATTTTTTTATATAACATTATTCATTTTTTTATATAATATTTGATTTAATTACCTTGCCTCTGTACCAAGGCAACTTCTCATCGTGACCATGATGATGCAAGTACGTGACAGCGTCCAACCACATCACAAAGATCTGAAAATTTTCCAAAACTTTGTCAAAAAAAAAAAAAAAAACAAATTCTGTTATAAATGATATAATAATGAAATATATGTAACTTACGATGTAAGGAACACCATAGACTTTGAGAACTGTGACTGGACCAACGAGGAACGATAGATAAACAAGAGTGGCCAACATTATGGACCAGCAAGTAGTTGAAGTTGCGATAAGCTTTCTCTCGCTTGGAGCAAATAAACTACTGTATGGGTTAAAATGTGACCCTTCTTTTCCAGGACTTCTGTACCACTGTTGTAAAATTTCAAACAAAATCAATTTCTATATTGGTTTAAAACTAAAAATCTAAAATCATTTGTAACATAAAATATAATAATTAGGAATTAAATAAAACTTTACCAGATAGATCGGGTAAGCGAGCATGGGCAGAGGCACAGTATATCTGAGCATCCGGGTACTATGGGGCAAGTTCTTGTACAACTTTTCTGGTAACTGAAATGCATAAATTCAATTAATTCGATTGGTTGACAAAACTATTTATTAATGCGACTTTTACTAGTAACTATTCATTGAAAATTTATCATTCTGATTATATATTCGTATTAATTCATTGCATGTGATGTGTTTAAAAGTTTTCTTCTATATTAGTTTTCAAGATTGCGGACAAAAATATTACGAAAACGCCAAAGCTGAAAAGGAAAAATAATGAAGAAAAGTAAACGGATTTCGAGGAGAATCATTTTATGCTAAGGATTCGAATATAAGTGGTCCATCGTTAATTTGGGTACTATTAAAAGTTTTTTTTGGGATCAAAGGGTACTATAAACCAATAAGAAAATCAATTACTGCTTAACTATGACACTTGCAAATTGTATTTTACTAAGCTAAAAAACAAATCTGACAAGTGGTCGGTCTGGCCTCAGACTGAAAACATAAACTAATAAAATAAAAATATAGAATCCTAAGAACATAGACATGAGAGTCGAATTTCGAAAAAGAAACAAATAATAAAAGACAAGAGAAATTATGAGCGAAGGAAAGATTACCGGAACCCAAGACTCGTCGTTTTCAACATGGCCATGGTTCTGGTGGTGTGTCCGATGGCTTATTCTCCTGCAAACCCCAATTACAAAATTATGTATTTATTTATTTTTGTGAAAATGAAATTGTCTATATAATGATCTAACAATCTCAAATCACTCTCTCAATCCCATTTATATATTGAACAGGTGACAATAGAGTGCTCTAACAATCTCACTCTTTTTAACTAATAAAAATTAGGAATAAGTAACAAAAATTGATGCATGGACATCTTTTTAAAAGATATCTGAAGCTGATGTAAACATTTAACAGTAAGTGAAAACCTCAAAAAATATCAAAATCTAATTATACTTGGAAACTAAAAAAAAATTCAGGCCCATATCATTTTTTTAAAAAGGTTTGGATTATTTTTCATTGGTTGCTATATATTTGATGTTTTTGAACAGAAAGGCGACCTCATATAGTCACATGCATTGTTTATTTGTTTAATAGGATTCTTATTTAATTATGAGATTGCTACTCTAGCAAAAAAACCAGTTGGTAGTTTCCAGTTAATACATATTACATTTTGCTAGGATTCCCCCAAGAATGAACAAACGAAAATGTAAGAAATACGAAAACAAGTACTAATCATTTACATAAAAATAGTTAATAAATGACTTACCAACCATGGTAAGGAACGAGGATGAATGAGTGAAGAATGTGACCAACCACACTGTTCAGCAGAGGAATGTCTGAGAAACTCCCATGTCCACTGCCATTATTCAATTTTATTTTCAGATCATTGTTTATCATACAAACGTATTTACATTTTTTTGCACTATTTCTTTTAACTTTCTATATTTGTTTTAATTCAAACTCTTTAACAAGGAAACAAATCAGGTATATGACGTGTCACTTGTCTAAATCTTGAAAATAGATTGGAACACAAAAAAAAAAGAAACAATATTTTCTGTAAAGAGACAATATATTTGTTAAAAAAGAAGAAACAATATATTTTCTTGATACTATACTATAATTATAATTAAAAGCTCCGGAGATCTAGAGAAAAAGAAACAAAAATTGAGAACATCAAACGTAGATCCATAAAATGCGGAAATAATATTATTTATAGAAAAGAAGATATTTTGTTACGAGTCTTACGACTGATGAATGATAATGATTGATGCTTGAACATTGATGAAAAAAATCTTAGATCCTCTTTTATTTTAATCTAGAAGTCAGTGACGATACTCATCGAACGTGCATTCAAGAAACTAATAAACTGAACAAAAAGAGACAAAAATAATTAATTTAATTTTACCAGTCGTGGCCAAGAACGAAGATGGCCCAGAAAAGGGTTCCTTGGGCAACCCAGTAGAGTGGCCAAAGGAACCAGCTATCAAAATACACAGCGGCGATGGCCAGAGCCGCAACCGCCAAAATGTCTCTGGCGACGTAGCTCATAGATCTCAAAGGACTCTTCACCCAACAGTGCTTAGGAATCGCCGCCCTGATATCTCCGATCTTAAACGGTGGTTGTGCACTTGGATCAAACCCTTCTTCCTTCCGGGCACTGGAATCTCCATTCACATTGCTGCGCTGGTCCATAGCAACACCCATTGCTGAAGCTGGTGAGAGAGAGAGATTTGGGAGGAGTTTCTCTCTCTCAAGATGTGTGGGCTCTCAGTGAA